ATACATTCCAACTGCTCTCTCACAGAAAGGGAAAGTCCCCCTCCTTGTCTTCACAGCCTGTAGTTCCAAAAAAAGCCTGTATACCTCCACTGAAACATGCCAGTCGCGGGAGCCATCCCACCCTGTTTCCATGATCCCAACATGATCGTAGCCCTACAACTGCACACACATCTCTGACTCCTGGTGGTTACTCCCCAGATTGTGAGCATTAGTGCCCAGGCACTTGACAGAGGCATCCCAGTGTGTTGCCTTCCTAGAAAGGGTTCTGGGGACTTCTCCACAATGGTACCACAAAGGTAGACACTTCCTTGATTGACCTTGTTCAAGAAAACAAGGTTTCAAGGCACATCTGGCTCCACTTTATCTTTGAAAGTGGTGAACTTATTTTGCAGTTGTAAACCCTTAGGTGGAGCAGAAACCTTCTGGAATCCCTCCTTGCATCGTCCCCTATGAATCTGCTTTCATGAATCTACAAGTGGTATTCAGTTTTTAAGAACCACCTTTAAAAACACAGAAGCAGGCAATTCCAAAGTTAAGCAAGCAGGGCAGAAGACATCACAGAAAATAGAAATTGTACAATCTGTGAAAGGAAGGTCAGGCTTCACAGAAAAGGTACAGAGCTGTCATTCACATATGCAGGGAGAAAGCAGGAAGGGCCAAAGCTCAATTAGAGTTGAAAGTGGCCTGTCTTGTGTTAGACAACAAGAAAGGCTTTTTTAGGTGCATTGATAGCAAGAAGAGGTGCAAAGAAAACATTGGGCCAATAACTGTTGAAGATGGTCACCTGAGTAATAGAGATGAAGGGAAACTTGAGGCATTCAATATTTCAAAGTATTTTGCCTCAGTCTTTAATAATGCTTATAGACCTCGGGCTGCCCGGTCCACTAAGTTGAAGAACCACGACTGCAGGAACAATCACTTTCCCTTTGTAAGGGACCAGCTGTATCATGTGATTGTTCATACATCCATTGGGACAGATAGGATTCATGCCACAGAACTGAAGAAACTGGGAGATGTTACAGCAGAAATCCCCTAAAGATCTACCAAAGGTCTTGGGAGGCTGGGGAGCTCCCTGCTGACTGGAAGCCAGACAGTGTTTTTCCAACTGAAAGAAGCTTGTGAAGGAAGACCCAGGAAACTACAGACCTGTCAGTCTGACCTAAGTCCATGGAAAAAAATTATGGAGAATGTCATACTGGGTGCTATTGAAAGATGTTTAAAGAACAATGCAATCATCAGGCACAGTCAACACAGGTTCACAATAAAAAGGTCCTGTTGAACTAATTTGATATCCTTCTGTGATAAAGTCACCCACCCAGTGCATTAAGGGAAAGCAGTGGATGGAGTTTTTCTGGATCTTAGTAAGGTTTTAGATAGTGTCCCTCACAGCATCCTTCTGGAGAACTTGTCTGTCTATGGGATGAGCAGGTACATGGTGTGCTGGGTGAAGAACTGGCTGAAAGGCAGGGATCAAAGGGTTGCAGTGAATGAGGCTACATCTGGCTAAAGATTAGTAAGCCTGGTGTTCCTCTGGACTCAATTCTATGGCCAGTTCTGTTCAATATTTTTATCAGTGATGTGGATGCAGGAGTTGAAGGTACCATGAGCAATTTCACTCATAATACTGAACTGGGAGGTACTGTTGACTCTCTGGAAGGACAGGAGGCCTTGCAGAGAGATCTAGATAAATTGAAGCATTGGGCAATTATTAATGGCATGAAATTTAACAAGTCCAAATAACAGATTCTGCACCTGGGATGGAGTAACACCAAACACAAGTCTAAATTGGGAGAGGAGTGGCTGGAGCAGCCCTGCAGAAAGGGATCTGGGGGTGCTGGTTGACAGCAGGCTCAACAGGAGTCAGGCATGTGTGCTGTCAGCCAGAGGGCAAAGCACATCCTGGAGGGCATTAACACAATCAAACCAGCCAGTCAGGAGAGGAGATTATCCCACCGTATTTAGTGTTGGGGCAGCCTCCCCTTGAGTTCTGTGTGTAGTTCTGAACCCGACAATTTCAGAAGGAAGTGAAGGTATTTGAATGTGTCCAGAGGAGGGCAACAAAACCTGGGAAAGGGCTGTAAAGAATGTCCTATGAGGAGTGGCCAATGGCTTTGGGCTTGTTTGGTTTGGAGAAAAGGAGTCTGGGGGCGACCTCATGTCTCTCTGCAGCTTCCTGAGGAGGGGAAGTGGAGAGGGAGGTGGTGATCTCTTCTCCCTGGGATTCCATGATAGGACACATGGAAATGGTTCAAAGCTGCATCGGGAGAGGTTCAAAATGACATTACTAAACATTTCCTTACGGACAGAGTGATCAAACACTGGAACAGGCTTTCTAAAGCAATAGAGCATCGATCAATGCCTGAAGCCTGCTAGTGTTTAAGAGGCATTTGGACAACACCCTTAATTACATGGTTTAACTTTTGGTCAGCCCTGAAGTGGTCAGGCAGTTGGACTAGATGGCTGTTGTAGGTCCCTCCCAACTGTAATATTCTCTTCTCTTCTCTTCTCTTCTCTTCTCTTCTCTTCTCTTCTCTTCTCTTCTCTTCTCTTCTCTTCTCTTCTCTTCTCTTCTCTTCTCTTCTTCTCCTCTCCTCTCCTCTCCTCTCCTCTCCTCTCCTTCACTTCCCCAGAGTTTACACTTACCTTAATACTAGGGGTACACATTCCCTGCTTCTCCACTGTAGTTGGGGTCTGGGGCTCATCAAGCTGCTGAACCCCAGAGAAAATCCTGACTGTCAACCTTTCATGTTCCCTGATGCTGTGCAGGAGACTTGTAACTGCTTGCCAACTGCCGAATGCCCACTGCTTGCTGCCTGTTGTGCCTGAGAATATTCTGTGGTCTTACAGATTTTGGCAACTGCAGTATCAGGAAATGTTCTGGAAAGGTCATTTTATCAAATTTGTGGAGGACTTAAGTTTTGTTCTTTCACTCATTTACAGTGCTTTTGGTGAAGTGGGGATGGACTATGTGGAAAAAATGTATCTGGTACCTCTAAATTAGCTGCAGAAGCTATAGGTTCTGCCGTTACCTGGGGAAGACACGAGGACTGATACTGTCCTCTCTTTGGATGCTGAAATTAGGAACATTCTTCAGACACCAGGTTTGGTGGCCTAGGAGAAAGCTTAGGTGTATAAAGATACTCGTCAGAAGTACTTATCCCACAAGAAAAATATCAGAAAAGGGGAAAATACCTGCTGCTTTTCCAGAAGAAAACAAGACAGAGATGGGAAAAGCCCCTGCAGACTCCTGAGGACTCCACCCTGTTGGTCAAGAAGTGCCAGATATTATGTATCCATGGTATTGGAAGAATGTGCAGTTTCTCTTTGGTCAACTAGGGCAGCAAAAGCATATTTCATCTTGGGAAAACCAGGGAAGTTTTGTGTACGAAGGAAATATCATTAAGGGGTGTCACCTACTTGATTGAGACAGTGTGTCCTTCAGACTTGTGGTCCATTTGAGCAGACCAAAAGGCTGGGATGTTTTTATGAAAGCCATGGCTGCCATTGTTGCACATGCTCTGGGAGTGCTTCATGTTGATTCTCATTGGCCCTGTGTTGCCACCTGTCTCAGCAGTGGAGCCTGGTGCTCCCATCCTCATCCCATGCAGCAATGACCTTGTTCCCTGTCCTGGTCCTGTGGTGCTGGTGGTGTGTGGAGTTTGTGTCAGGGCAAATCCCTCCACCACAATGTCCCAGACTCTGGAGATGTGGGACGTCCTTGGCCTGTGTGTTGGGAGCAGAGGTGCTGCATGGACCACAAAGGCCACTTCAGCACCAGAGCTCTGGGAATGCTGAAGGAGTTTGGTGCCTGGGGAAAGGCACCTCAGTGAGTACCCTGTGGCTGGGCTTCTGCACGCCAGCTCACGGATCCTGCTGACGATTGTATGAAATCCCACTGTCACTGCCACATCTCCACGGAGCTGGGAATATCTCCTCTCACTCAGCACCTTTATAGACTAGAGCTGCGTTGTGGCACTTGTGGGGCTGTAGAGTTATTGGGGCTCAGGAAAGCTGTACTTCAGAAAGAACAGGCAGCACAGAGCAGTGCTGTATCTCTGGGCACCAGTCACTGTCCTAGGCCTGCCTTCAGCCAAGGGAGTGTTGGGTGTGCTGAGACAGGAGACTTCAGTATGTGCGCTGCTGTAGCTGATACCAATACTGACTTGTGAACACCTCAACCCTACATATGTTGGCCACAGATCACAGAATCACAGAATCATCATGGTTGGAAGGGACCTCTGAAATCATTGGGTGGGCGATGTCAGATGCTGCAGGGTGATAGGCCTGCACAGAGAAGTTGTCGCTGTCACCGATGTCTCAGTGTGCTGATGAGATAAAGTGACGGAAGGAAGGGGCAGGTGGAGTAGGGACCGTGGGCCATCCCCAGAACTATTTACCGATTCCTAATTCCTATTATCCTTTGGGAACATCATTGTTTGAGCCACTTTGCCCAGCACAGCTCCACCCAAAGCAAAAGGAGCACTCTTCCCCAAGAGTTTGCAACACCACAGCTCCCTGGGGACTTGTCATCTCTGGAGGACAACAGCTATCAGGTTGCCTGTATACATGACATGATTCATAGGCAAAGGGTTATTTCTGAGCAGAGTCTCAGCAAGGCAAGGACTGATCGCCATTGGCAGTGGAGTAACTAGGGATGTCTTCCTCAGCTTCAAAAGGCAGTGCCTGAAAGAGGACTCTCTGCAGTGTTCCCCACCCTCCAATGCCTTGAGGAGTGATGGAGGGTTCCCTTGTGCACCCACCTGATTCCTCCTGCAAAGCAATGGCTTTCTACCCCCACAGTCTGTGCATATGGAAAGACCATGTAAAGGAGACAGGCAGGGTTGCAGCAATTGTTTAATGAGTCTAAAGAGGGAAGTGAAGTCACACCAAGTGGAGGCTCCACTGTGGGGAGCAGAAGGAGCAGGCAAGAATGTGTTCCCCTTTTCCTGTGGTAAAACTCCCACAGGGCATCTATTGACCTGCACAGCAAAGAGAGACAGGCTGCAGGTCCCTCCAGGCTGGTTTCTGGGCTCTCACAACAGGCTTTGAGGGAAACACAAGAAAACAAAGGAAAGAGACAAAAAGAATGAGAGAAAGACAGGAAAAGGAAGGGTAGACATTGGCCATGCTTACAGAGAGCCCAGGAAGACATCTTCACATCTACCCTTGCAGGGCAAGCCAGAGATGGTGAGCTGCTCTTAAAACAATGGCATGTAGTTGAATCCTCTGTCCAGCACCAAGTTCTGAGTTCCAGGGGGTCCTTGTACCACTGGCTACTGCTTACATCTTTAGCAGGGAGGGCATCTGCTGCCACAGTAGCGGCTGGTGATGCAGGAGAGGTCACAGCACCCAGAGTTGATGGGGACTCCGTCACAGCTGAGGATGCTGCCAACAGCAGCAGAGGTGGAGGATCCCACCACGGTGTTCTGAGGGAAGGAGCTGAGGATGGGGCCGGGCAGGGTCACCACCACAGCAGGAGGCTCAATGACGACAGTGGAGTTCTGGCACTGCCTGACACAGGGCTCGTTGCAGCTGTTGGCCAGTGGGGTTGGGCAGCAGGGCGGGCAGCAGGGCCAGCACTGGTCATAGCAAGACATGTCTATGGGTCTGAGGTGCACCTGAGAGAGAGGCCAGGGAAGAAGAAAAACAGAGGCATTCATTCCTGTCACTGTACCATGATGGAGCCAAAGAACATGTAGGGCTGGAGATGGAGACTGTGCAGTGACATATGAGGACTTCTTGGCCTCATCCTTAGAGAGCGTAAAAAAGCCCTCAGCTCCTATGCACCTATTGCCTGGCCCCTGAGTATAGAAGCCACCTCAGCACAGTCCCAACCTCCCCCCATGTCTAATTTTCTCCCTGCTTCCCTCTACCATGACAAGCAGCCCTGTGATCTGGCATAGAACAAAGCCAGTGTCAGCTGAGAGGTCTGTTGAAGTGAGACCTCCTTTTTGAGACAGTGGAGAAGGAGAAGGGGGTTCACTCTCACCTGACTCCAAAGGAGAAGGAGGCAAGAGAAGTGGATGTGAGAGCAAGAATCTGGGCTGGCTTCTATCATGCACCTTAACAGCCCCAGGCTGCCAGAGGCTTCCCTTTCAGAGGTGATTATTTGCTGACAAGCTCATCTTGAATGCAGAACATCCTGGCTATTGCTGTGGGCTCTGCTTTGGCTTCCCGAATTGGTGTCTTCCCATTTCCTGCTTCATGACAAGACCATTCCCCAGTGGAGGCATCTTTTGTGCGAGAGGATGAAAGGCCCAAGCATTTCCGGTGCAAAACACATGAGTGTGGGCAGAGGACTCATCTCACGTGCTGGAAGAGTCCAGTAAAGGTCCCTCAGGTTACAATATAAGCTGGCTTAGAGAACACACACACTCAGACACTAATCTAGACCTCTAGGCATCTAGAGTTCACTGAGAAGACTCAAGACACCCAAGGAGAGGCTGTCTACACTGTCCAGGGCACAGGACTTGGACTTGACAGAGTCATCTTCTGAAAATCCTCTCTCAAAGAGCTCATTGGGGCTGAAGGAAGACTGATCTGCACTCAATGAGACTAACATGCCCAGCGTGATCCCATTCACCCCCACAAAATCCCTTTTCCCACTCTCCATCTGTCCCTGAGTACCAGGGACACAGATATGGGCTTTAGTCATGGGATGGAAGTGTTTGCAGCTCTGGTGGAACAGCCTGTGGGTTCACTTCTGATTGTATGATGAAGCAAGCCATGTGTATACATGACCAGGTAAAGGCAGGCCCTGCTGTGAGCTTAGTTCAGAGTTCAGAGGCCAGCACTGGACAATTGCAGGCACAGTGTCTCCAGAAAGATGGGTCATTCCATTTACTGTAGGATGGGATAAGTCCTGTGCGTGAGCTGATGTCTCTTCATTGACTTTGGGAAGAGTCTGTAGGGTCTGTTAGAGCGGACCCAAATGAAGGCTACAAAACTGGTTGGGACACCTGTCCTGTGAAGAGAGACTGAGAGAGTTATGCCTGGAGACAAGAAGGTTTTGGGCAGACCTTCTTGTGGCTTTGCAATATTTATAGGGGGCTTATAAGAAAGGAGAAAGGTGTTCTGCCTGGGCCCCTAGTGACAGGACAAGCAACAATGGCTTTAAACTGAAAGAGGGTAGATGTAGATTGGACATAAGGAAGAAATGTTTTGCAATGAGCATGGTGAGACACTGGAAGAGGTTGCCCTCTTGTGGAAGCTCCATCACTGCAAGTGTTCAAGGTGAGGTTAGATGGGGCTCTGAGCAACCTGATCTGGTGAGAGATGTCCCTGTCCATGGCAGGAGGGCTGGACAGGGTTGTCTTTCAAGGTCCCTTCCCATGTGTGTAAACGCATTCATGAGCACAGCAGAGGAACATATACGTGAGTGTGAACATGCACGCGCATCACTGAGAGTTCATTCACCCAATGCCAGCTCTCAGCCTCTCAGGAGGCCTCTAGGCACGTTCTTCAGACCCCACAGTTAAGGCAATGAATCAGGCACCATCAGCTTTAGTGAGCTCAAGAGCTTGACACTCCTTCAATCTCCTATTTTCTCACTAGAAAAGAGACAGAAACCACAGTGGAGTCAAAGCTGCCATGACCTTTCCAGACATTGAGCTTCTCTGTGTCCCAAGTCTGTGGGTCTTAATATAATTAATATAAATATAAGGGATAATATAAAATCTAAAGAACATCTATCTCAAGAGCTTGACACTCCTTCAATCTCCTATTTTCTCACTAGAAAAGAGACAGAAACCACAGTGGAGTCAAAGCTGCCATGACCTTTCCAGACATTGAGCTTCTCTGTGTCCCAAGTCTGTGGGTCTTAATATAATTAATATAAATATAAGGGATAATATAAAATCTAAAGAACATCTATATGGCTGCAGCCACAAAGAAGCCCCACATTCCAATTGAAAAAACCTCCTCCAGCCTTAGGTGCCTGCAAGTGTCCTAAGTCATCTCCTTAGGAGAGACATGGGGGTGTGAGACCAGCTCCAGCTCTCTAAAGGGAACAGTACCTCAGTGGTGACAAGCAAGACTCCCCACAGGCTGAAAACCCTGAGGCTGGGGCACCAGAAATGACACTGACTGATCCCACTAAGAAAGGCACTCAGCCTCTTCACAGCATTCCTGAAAATGCCATTTATTAGCACTAAGACTAGAAAGAAAGAGAGGACAGTACAGATAACCTTACATCCCATCAGAGGCTGGGAACCCAGAGCTGCTCCACATCAGCTGCTCTCACAGAATAAGGAAATCACAGAATGGCCGAGGTTGGAAGGACCCCTGGAAGTCATCTGGTCCACCTCCACCCAGCTCAAGCAGGGCCACACAGAGCCAGTTGCCAAGGACCATGTCCAGGGGGTTTTTGAATATCACGAAAGAGGGAGACTGAGCAAACTCCCTGGGATACCTGTGCCAGTGCTCAGTCACTCCCACAGCACAGTAGAATGTGCTGCCCCCTCTCCAGGGCACAGGTCAGTGGACGGATCCCGTCCACAGAAGGATTACCCTATTTCACTCAGTCAAGTATTAAAGCATTTTCTTCAAAGGAAACTGTTCTATTCATCATTTCCACTGTCAAACACTACAACTTGGCAAGTTTTTTTACTGGATATGAACAAATATGAGCATCTTCCTCACCCTTGTCTAAAACACGGGTTGAGCAGGGAAGTACAAATGGCGTGAAAAACAGACACTGCTCTGTTTAGCGACCCTTTGGAGGTGACTTCCTGTGAAGGTGAAGACACACAGGACATAGAAACAGGCCACAGCAGTGAAATGGGAAGCACAGGTTGAGGCAGCTCTGTGCTTGCCTTCTGCACAGCAGAGCTGCTGCATGGCTCTCGCTCTCCACCTGGGAGAAGTGAGAATGAAGAGGAAACAGCAGAAGGTCTCATCACTAATCCTGAAGATGGTCACTTACTTGTTGGCAGAAGTCCCAGCAAAAGCCATGTCCAGGAGAGATGGTAGATGACCCAAGAAGTGGTGGATGTGCTTGGGCCTGCAGAAAGCCCTGTGAGAAGTGAGTATTGCATGTAGAGAAGGAGACAGGGAACCGGCCAGTCATGACCTTGCCACCAGCCAGACACACACAACCTGGTGCACGACGGCCTCAGAGTGAAGTGCGTTGCAGAGAGTCAAGCAGTGGCCGTACATCTTGGGAGTGTCACTTCCCAGGAGCTAAAAGAAGTACAGCTGGGCCATGCAGCTGTGGAAGGAGACAGATATGAGCCCTGGCCTGAGGAAGCCCTCCAGCACCTTTGGAAGGAAGACACCAGAGAAGAGAGACTGAAATTTTTGGTCTTCAGTCATTCTGAGCTAGACTTCATCAGCCATAATTCCCTTCTCAGTGGAGAAGATGAGTCGGGGCATTTCCATCTTTGCACCTGTTCACTTTTGTCAAGGCATCTGGATTTCCATGCAGGAAATAGGATATGGGAGTGTAGTGGCTGCCAAGAGACATTTCCACTGATGAGATTTACACTGAAGGGATGAGATTTACATGTTCTGCAAAGAATGGCAGCCCATCCCTGAGCACAGTTTCTCGGGTCGGGGGGGCAAATGAAGCAGTTGAGGGCTCTGCACTTACCTGCACCTCTCTTGGAAAGTGCACCCAGTTCCCTCTCCCTGGCTGATCTTCTAATTCCCCTGCATGCTCTTTATGAGAGCAATTTGATCTCCCTCAGAAATACACCCTTTCACTGTCCCATTTCTGTGCTGACTGCCCTCAGCTCCCACATCCTTAGATCCAGTTTCCAGCCACAGTGCACTCAGCAGCATGGGCGACTTTTCCCTGGTGATGTCTCCAGGCCACGGCCCCAAGATTTGGTGGTGGAAGAGACATCCAAAGGCTGCTCCCTGCATCCAATAAGACTCCTGATATTCAGCAAGACACACACTGTCTAATGTTTTCATGCACGCTGTGAGCAGTGGGAAGGTAGGCACTTCCTGCAAGTTTGGGGATGACACTGAAGCTCAGGGAACAGGCAGGACACTGATCTCTGTTAGCCAGATTATTCCCTGCAGGTCCAGGAACTACTTGTTCAAAAGAAACAGAGAAGGAGGCCTAGACTGTGGAAATGCTCTGCACAAGGAGTAGAGGCAATGAAGAGCTGCTGGAATGTGGGGAGTTCTAGTTCAGGCACAGGCTAAAAGAACTGAGAACTGGAATGGATTTCCCTGGGGGGTTCTGCAATCTCTGTCCTGGTGTGGCCTGATATAATGAGGTGGATCTAGATCACCTCTGGACGTCCCTTTTCACCTACATTCTGACGCTCTGCTTCACCACGACACTTGCTCTCTCTGAACCCTGCCTGCCCATGTGCACAATTTTCCTCACAAATATATTAATTGGCTGAAGCAAAACTCAGCCCATTTCTCACACCAGTGAGGTTGTGCAGTCTCCAGTGAGGTGTTTGAGGCTGAACTGAGTTTGACTTTGGGCAATTTGATCTAAAGGGAGCTGTTCCAAGCAGCAGGATGATCTAGAGGACCTATGGAGGCCCTTTCTCACCCACAACGTGACTCTCTAACACCCACCAACCCTTTCCCGGTTCTCCC